TGTCACACATTCTCAGGTTCCTCATGGGGCTAAAAACATAGGAGCCCTTCCTGGAGAGCAGCCTGAGGCAGCCCTCCCAGACCCCATCCTCCCAGGCCCTCCCAGGCCCTCCCAGGCCCTCTGAGGCCCCAGCCTCTGCAGAAAACTACACCCAGCAGTGGGGCCTTCCGGAAGTGAGAACCCTGCCCCTTCCCTTAGAACTCACAAAGCAAATGTGAGAGGAATAAAGAGATGGGTATAGACCTATCTTATAGAGAGGGAAACTGAGGCACAGAGCACCTGGTGCTGGTGACCTAGGCTAAATTACCCATTGGGCAGTTAGAATCCACCATCTGCTTTGCAGACAGGGTGGGCAGGGTCCTCTGAAGGAGAGCCATGTCGGAGACTGACTCAACAGCAGGGTTGTGGTGGTTTTTTGGGGGGTGAATTCTAGTCACTCTTTTCCAGGGAGGGAGGGGGCTTTCCCAGAGTAGTGGCTGCGCCTTGGTGACCTGGCTCTTTAAGGATTTCTTCTCTCCCTCCTCCAGTTTACCTGGATCTCAGGGAGCGTCTCAAACTCCCCCACCTCAGACGCAGAAGTCAGGGCGGTTCCTCCCAATGGTGGGGCCCACCCAGCCACCTGCCACAGGTTACCTGGCATGGAATCGAGGATTGTAGCCAGCTCTCCACACTGCCCTCCCCGGGCTGGGGCAGACGGGGCTGCTCTGTGGTGACCTCAGAGGAAAGAGGAGCGGTCATGACTCTCAACACATTCAAGACTGGGGTGGGGGGACTGCACCTCGAAGGCAAGGGGCTCTGCTCCCCGCCTCTGCGCTTATCTCAACTGGACCCCGTCCCAAGATTCACTTCTAGGGTTCAGGGCTCCAGGTTGAACTCACCTCCCCTCAATTTACCCAGCGGCGAGGTGGGGGCGATAGGGGCCCCTTACGTGCCCGGCACCTGAATGGGAGGGTCTGGTTTGGCCACTGCACGCGAGCTGGGGGGGTCCCGAGAGTCAGGGACAGTCCATGGTGGAGACACCCCCGCCTTCTTGTTCGCACGTTCTCAGTACAGTTTCCCAGAAACGAGTCCTGCGCCCCTATTTATGTCCCTGCCCCTTCTCGGACTTCAGCACGGACTTTCAATGGTTCGATGCCCATTTTATAGATGTGCAAACGGAGGCCCATAGTAGGTACGAGTGGTTTGAAGTGTAAGGGGCCGGGTTAAAACCCCAAGTCCAGGAGTCCCTTCCCAGGGGTCCGCGATAAGCTGAGAAGAGGACTCTGACCGACGACGGTTCCTCAACGCACCAAAGCGGGGACCCCAGTCACCTGGGCTCCACCTCGGCTCGTCCAGCCCCGCCCCCGCCCTTCGCGCCCTCTTCGCTCCACACTGAGATGCGCACTTTGTCCCCAGTCCCTAGACGGGGGGCGGGTCCTTTCTTGGCTTCCCCCCTTTTATTATTTATTATCACTTAAAGGGGCCGCGACCTCGAGTTTTCCGTCCTCTCTCTTCCCCCCCATACCCGTGGACCAGTCTCGGTGGCTCAGGATCGAGTGCGGGGGCCGAAGGGGCGTCCGGGGAAGGGGGAGGGGGCCTTGCGAGACCCCTCCCCGCGTCCCGGGCCACCGCGCTGAATCACCGGCGAGGTATTTGCATCTGAGAGCGATTTGTCACCCGGTGATTTGTCTGCGGGGCGGTGAGCGCGCCCTGGGGTGGGGGGGCAGGGCGCGGAGGGGCGGGAGAAGGCCGCGCGCGGGGAGACTTTTACCAATCGGGGTCGGATGGGGGTGTAGACGCGGACACGACTGGCGATTCGGTGAGTCGGCGCGAGGCGCAAACCCGGCGGCGGCACGGGGCCGTCAGTGCGCGCAGCCGTGGGGCCCGAGGCCGGGCAGGGCAGGGCAGGGCCGGACGCGGGCGTGGGGACATGCGCCCCCCCGAGTGGCGCTAGCGCGGTGAGGCTAGGCCCGGGTGGGCAAGGCTGCTCTTTGGAACCGCGGGTTCCGGCCCTTGGGTGGGCTCAGCGTGCTTGCAAGGAATTGGGGGGAGGGTCTCCCAAGTTAGGCAGGACCGTGAAGGGGGGTCCTGGTGTGCGGGAGCGCCTGGTTGGAGGGGCGTGGGTAGGTCTCTCGGCGTCCCACTCCTTGGAGACCTCACCCCTTCCCAAGTTGCGCGGGGGTGACCGGGGGTCACGCGTGCGCGCTCCCCTCGCCACCCCAGCGGAAGGAAATGGTCTTGGTGCGCGCGCGGGGGGCTGCGCGCGCTTGGAGTTTTTATTGAATTTTTGTGCTCGGCGTGATCGAGTGTTTACCGGAGTCTCGAGAGAAGTGGGGGCGCCGGGCGCGAGCGCAGCTCCGGGAGACCCTCCCCACCCTGGGGGCTCGATTCTTTCTAAAGTGTCGGCTCCACGGGGACACCACGGTCCGTGCTCTCGGGGCCGGCGTTCGGCGAAGTCCCCGGGAGATGCCACCCCCAAAGTTTTCCGTGCCCCCCAGATCGAAAAGCGGGCGCAGGGAGCGGCGGTCCCAGCGGCGGATTTGTCAATCCCTTCCGTTCTCGGTGTCCCGGGCAGGAGGGGTGCACCCCCGATGCAAATCGGCCGCTTTCCAAGAAGCCTTTGAAAGCCGGACGGGGTTTTGCCGTTTTATTTCTTGCTGGGTTTTCCCTTTCCACTTCCTCTGGCTGCCCCCACCCTCCGACCGTCGCCCCCTCCCCAGCGCGCTGCCCCCGCCCCTCCTCCTTCCCCCGGGAATGAGGGGCCCCTCTCACCCCCGCGGGCCCCAGGCTTGCACAACTCTTTAAATAACCGAGTTTTGCAAGGCCCAGCCGGGCGGATGACCTCTCGGGCGGCACTGGGGGAGGGTGTGGCCCGCTGGCTCCGCAGCCCAACGACCACCCGGCCCCCACCCCCACCCCCCCCTGCTCCCGGCCTGCCCCCCCGTGGGGCCGTCATAAACTGGAGGTGGGGGCCCTGAGGACAAAAGGTTCACTGGGGGATGGGTCTAGAGGGGGTGGGCGTCGCCAGCTTGGGGTTAATGGCAACCTTGAGGAGCTTCCCTTTGGCTGGGGGTCTGGGGGTCCCACCTGTCCCCACCACTGGCCTAGAGAGGAAGACTGTCCGACTCCCCTCCCCCACTGTGGACGCAAGGGGTCATTAAGCCCAGCTTGCTTGGGAGGGGGCGCTCCCTGGGGGGAGTGGCTTCCTCCAGCCTCTTCCTTGTGCCCCCCAAAGGGGTGGCGTCGCCTGGAGCATTTCCGTGGGGGGGGCTCGTCTTGAAGTTGTCAAAGATGGGGGAGGGGCGGAGAGCAGAGCAGACGCTGGTCGAGAAGTGAGCCCTCAGCACTTCTGGGCCTGGTGGGGGTGACCACCGCCCCTGGTGGGGGGTGGCTGCTGCGCCTGCGGCCTCTGTGGAAGTCTTTGTGCCCTGGGACCCCAGCCCCTGACAGACTGACACAGAGCGCCTTTGGGGACGGCCTCCAGGCTCTCCCACCAGCCACTTTCACCCCTCACTGCGGCCCCCGGGGTGTGTTTGGGGGGTGGGAGGGCGGTGAACTTCCTGTGGGTTCTGCTGAGAAGGGTCTGCAGTACAGGGGTATCCCCACCACCGGCAGGTCACCCAACGGGGCTGAGTCCTCTTCATTCCGCTTGGGGTTCCAGCACCCCCCTCTCTCTGAGCCCCCAGTGGCACACAGGGGACCCAGGAGCCTTCAGGATTTATGGCTCAGTTAGGAGCACCCCCTCCTGCCGTGGGGGTGGGGCTAGAACCCCTCCCCCACTGTCCTTGCCAGGCTTTCCGGAGTGTCACTTCTGGGCCTGTTGGGCTCTGCCCACTGTTTTATAGGCGACTTGGGCGGGTGGGGGTGAGGCCTGCTGTGGTGGGGGGCTGGGGCGGTATGTGCCCTCAAGTGCCCAACTGTGGCCGGTTCTGGGTGTGTCAGGACCTCCCTGCCCCGGACCCTCGGTGGTCAGTGAGGACTGCCACGATGCATTCTGGGACATTGATCCTATCTAGGGTCCCAGACACTTGGGGTCCTCCCTTACACCTCAAGGCTGGGGTACTCGGTGTCCCTGAGCCCCCGAAAAGAGAGAATGGGGTGTGGGGACATCATGAACGTCGTGAAGGTGACTCCATCCAGACCCAAGTTCAAATGTAGTTCTGTTTGAGGAAGAGACGTGGGCTTCTCTGACCCTTGGTCTCTTCGTCCACAAGGCTGGGGGCGTGCTGGCCTCTTTCCTGCACCCCGGAGGCCGCTGTGTGTCTTCTCCCGGCCTCGACTCCCTTCGCCCACCACGGCCGGCGCGGGGTGGGCCCTGTTCTCCATGCCCTTTCGCAGATGGAGAAACTGAAGCTCAGAGAAGTTTGAGGCCTGAGTTTTTTGTCAAAGTCCTACCCTGGCTGGAAGGGCCAGCCTAGGGCTGTCCCCAGCTCGTGTCCAGTAGGCTCAGCCATTGTTTCTGGTAGTCCAAGACACGCAGGAGGCCTGAGCCGGGCCTGGAACTCGGAACCAGAACCCAGAACCTGCGTGGGCTCGGCCAATCGGAGGCCGTCAGTGCCCACTGCTGGGCTGGCTGTGATGCAATAAGCAGACCTTCCCCAGCGACTGCGCATCTGAGACTCGGGCTTCGGGAGACCCTGGGCCAGCTGAGGGGGTCACATGGGAGGGTGTGCACCTCCGCGCTGGGGGGACCTGCCAGGTGGGTGTTCCCCCCAGGACTGTGAGAGGGCTCCAGTGGCCTTGGGGAGAGCCACCTGACCTGTCCTCCTGTCCTCCAGGTCTCTGCAGATACATGAATGAGCCTGGCACCCCCAGCCCTCGCCCAGCGTGACCTGGAGGCAGCACGTGCCGTTGGCATGCCTGGCCAGCCCTTGGCCTGAGCCCGCGGCCCGCCCGCCGCCACCCTGCACGGCCCCGGCTCCCCCGCGGCCCCCACGCTGCAGTGCGGCCGGGCCCCCTCCCCGCAGGGGCCGCCCCCGCCGCCCACCCCTGGTGCCCGGGGCGGCCCAGTCCGCAGGGCCATGAAGCTGCAGGCCGTCATGGAGACCTTGCTCCAGCGCCAGCAGCGGGCCCGCCAGGAGCTCGAAGCCCGGCAGCTGCCACCAGAGGTCCCCGCCGGCCCCCCGGCCCGAGCCCACGCCGGCCCCCCAGAGGAGGACAGGGAGCCCGAGAGCGCGCGGATACAGCGGGCACAGATGGCCGCATTGGCTGCCATGAGGGCGGCAGCCGCCGGCCTTGGACATCCCGCCAGCCCCAGCAGCCACTCTGAAGAAGAGGACACAGGACCCCCGGAGGGGGCACCAGGCTCACCTGCCCTGCCTGGCCGAGGAGAAGGAGGCGGGCACTTTGAGGAAATGGCCTCCGATGAGGACATGTGAGTCTGGGCTCCAAGTGTTTGGGGAATTGCGTGGCGTCTGGTGTGCCCAGGGGCCATGCAGGGGTGTCCCGGAGCTTCTGAGGGTATCTGGGGGGTGTCCTGAGTCTTCTGAGGAGCTGGGGCTGTCACCCTCTTGGAGACTCAGAACATCTAGGGGACCTTTCCAGAAGGTGGATGTGTCCATCCTCTGCGCTGGCCGGCATGGCAGCTGCTGGCTAAGCATGGCTGTTGACCATGTGGTCAGTATGACTAAAGAACTGAGTTGCAAATTATGTTTCAGCTGATTTATGTTAAAGCAGTCACTTGCAGCCAGTGGCCACCTTGGTGGACGGCTTGGCAGGGTCCCTGAGACTGACCAGAGGGATGACCGGGCCTTGTGGGAGGGGTGGTCCTGGGTGTGGTGAAGGCCCCTGGGAAGCTTGAGCGGGACCCTGCCAGTGAGGTGAGAGGGTGAGGGGGCTTCACCTGAGTGCAGGTGAGTGAGGAGGGGTGCGTCCATCCGTGTGCACTTCACTTGTGGGGGGCTCACCCCTGAGCTGGTCCGTGGGGTGGGGTTGCAGGAGCCGCCACCTCTAGAGAGGGACAGTGTCCTTAGAGGCCACGTGTGTAGCCACTGAGTGTGCAGCGTTGCGTGTGTGTGATAGTCACGTGGACAGTGGCCCTGTGGACAGCTGTCGTGTGTGTGGCGGTCCTGGACTGTGGTCACAGGTGTATGACGGTGGTGACGTGTGTATGGTGACCATGCGCCCCAGAGTTCTGTGTGCCCGGTGGTGACATGTGTCCAGCTGTCCTGGGTGTGCTGTAACCCTGTGCACAGCGGCTGCGTGGACAGTGGTTGTGTGTGCGGCAGTCACACGGGAGGTGTCTTGGCGGGAATGGCCTCTCTCCGATGCCCCCCTAGCTGGCTGTGGACCAGAGTGGGCAGGGCTGGCCCTTGCGTTGTCTTGGGCAATCTGGGCAGGACCTGGAACACAAGTGACCCGAGTGGGAAGCTGAGGCAGCACAGCCAGGACCCCATCAGGTGGCCGTAAATGTGGGGAGACCTTGACCCAGAAAGGTGTTCCCGCCGCCTCAGTCCGTCCCTGTCTCCTCCGTGCAGGAAGCAGAAGTGGGAGGGTGAGGAGATGGAGGAAGACCTGGCGGACGAGGACGAGGACATGGAGGAGGACTACGAGGAGGACGAGGATGAGGAGGGGCTGGGTCCCCCCGGCCCCACCAGCCTGGGCTCTGGGGCGCTGTTTCCCCGAAAGGCTCAGCCACCCCAGTCGCTCCGTGGGGATGGCACTGCCCGGGCGCTGGGGGGGCTGGAGCGTCAGGGGCCTGGGGCAGCCCACCCTGGAGGGGCTGCACATGTGGTGCCTTCACTGCAGCCACCAGACCACGGGGACTGGACCTACGAGGAGCAGTTCAAGCAGGTGAGTGGGGAGCAGGTGTCAGGCCGGGGGACGGAGAGCCGTGTGGGCGGAGGGGCCGCGGGGCAGGAGCCGTGTGCACGGCTGGCACTTAGGGGTGCTGGTGACCATGGGGTGGGGGGCCACGGGGCTGGTGGCTGTGTGGGCTGGGAGCCGTGTGGGTGGGGGGCCGTGTGCACGGCTGGCACTTAGGGGTGCTGGTGGCTGTGACCGTGACCGTGGCCGGGGCGGCTAAGGGCTGGAGTTTGTGCTTTGATCAAACTCAGGAGGGTGTGGTCTCACACGTCCACACGTCTTGGTCCCCCCATTTATCTTTTGTCTGCCGAGCACTGCACCCTTGTGGGGTGCTGGGGACCGTGGGCCAGCACAATCAGGGTGTCCAGAGGGTCAGTGGCCAGCCAGGCAGCCCCCAGGGCCTTGGGTTCCAAAACTGTCTAAACTGTAGCTTGCCAGTGGAGAGGGATGGTCAGGTGGCATGGTGGCCGTAAATGTGGGGAGACCTTGACCCGGGAAGGTGTTGGAGTTCTCCCTGTATGCCCTGCAGTGAGGGGTGATGGGAGCCAGGCGTGAGGGGTGGAAGACGCCTGGGGGAGGGACCTGCAGGTGGAGGTGGGCGCAGGGCCAGGCCTCGTGTGTCTCAGACGCTCTGGATGGCAGCAGCGGTGGGACTGGGCACGGGAGGACAGGCCAGGGGGTCGTGGCCGGTGTGGGGTCCCGTGCGTTGCATGTAGCAGGCGCGATGGACACTTGAGTGTGCAGGCCGTGGTTGTGGCCTCCCTGGCAGCTGGGCATGGCCCCTGTTGAGGTCAGCTGGGGCTTTTTGGGGGTCCTTAGCCACACGCAGAACTCGGCTGGTGGAGCTCCCAGGCTGCGGGACAGGCCGGAGGAAGCGGGTGCAGGGATGGAGGAAGTGACCAGGCGGGGCGTCTTTGAAGTCGGCCGCTGGGCCAGGCAGATGGGAACCAGATGGGCGTCCTCGGGCTGCATTCCAGCTCGGCCAGCTGGACCTCCACGCGAGGCAGGACCACCTGGCCTGGGGCCAGATGCCAGGGCCAACCAGGGTGTCCAGAGGGTCGATGGCCAGCCAGGCAGCTCCCAGGGCCCTGGGTGTCCAGAACTGTCTAAACTGTAGCTTGCCCGTGGAGAGGGAGGAGGCCAGCCCCGAGCCGAGCCGAGCTGACCTGAGCTGCCCCAAACTGAGCCGAGCTGAGCTGTCCCCGAGCCTGGGTGGCTGTGTGTAGGAACAAGGCACAGGTCCTTGGACACACTGCTGTAGCTCATGTTCTGAGATCAGGGAGTGAGGCCCTGGCCCTAGGGAGAGGGGGCTGTGACCCTGTGTGCTGGGCGGGTGTGGCCCTGTGGGCTGGGGTTGAGGTCCTTGGAGTGAAGGCCGTGGCCATGTGCAGGAGAACCAGCGGGCTGGAGGACGGTGCTTGGACACTGTGCCCCCCGGCTCCAGTGAGGCCTCCCTGGGGGTGGAGGTGTCAGCCCTCCCGCACCCTCACCTGGCTGAGGGACTCGAAGCGGGTGCTCATTTCTGTATGTGGGGTTGCCCTGGGTGTCACTGGCCCCACACCAGGCTCCTGTTACCCCGTTGTTCAGAGAAGCAGACTGAGGTGCATTGCAAACAGGTCCTGACCCCAGGGGAGCGACACGCTTAGTGCTGCACGGGGTTCTCATTGGTGCCCCTGATGTTTGCCTGCGGGCGCCTAGCCCGGGGAGCCCCTGGCACCCCCAGCCCAGCCGGGTCGCAGCCTGCCCAGGGGAGGGCCGTGGAGCCAGGCTGAGGGGTGAGATACCGCTGCTGATGTGGCCAGGAGGAAAGGCCAGGGGTCGGGGTTGGGGCGCTCCCACGGCTTGGCACATCGGGAGGTGCAGTGCCAGGAAAGAGGGCACTCTGGTCTGGGGCCTGGCCGTGCGTCAGGGCTTCCCTGGGTCGGGGTGGCAGGTAGTGCCAACTGGGCCATGATCCTTGATGATCCCTGAGCTGAGGTACCCAGGAGCCCTGCAGGGTGAGCAGTCAGGAGGCCAGGCACGGGCCCTGGGAAGCCGGTGCCTGGTGGACCAGGAGGCGTGGCTCCGTTACGTGCTGGATGCCCCCAGAAGGGTCAGTGCAGCCCCGTCTGCGGGCGCCTTGAGAAAGGCCTGTGTCGGGGCCGCTCGGTGTAGAACGCTTATGGGGGCACGTGGGGGATCCGTGCTGAATGGCAGCTGGCATGGTAGCCTCGGAGCCCTCAGGAGGGCCAGACAGCCACCCTCACACACTCGTGGTGCCTGCACCAGAGCCCTGGGTCTCCTGTGACCTGCTGGGCAGACCTTGAGGCCAGTCCCGCCCAAGGTGAGGCCAAGTGAGGGCACAGCCCCACGGCCAGCGGCCAGCTCACCTTCCTGGCCAGCTGGGCCGGCACCTGCACTGCCAGTGTCAACAGCTGCCCGGCCCAGCTCCTGGCGGACGTTGGTGTGTTGACTGGGGCCGCCCCGCCCCTTCCTGGCGTGTGGCAGTCTCGCCTAGCACTGCCCGGCCCCTGCCTCCTGGTTGCACCACCGTGGCGGGCCAGCTGCCGCTGCAGCCCTGCGCAATGTGGGGGCCCTACGCTGGGTGGCCTCGGGGTCCCACGTCTGAGCTCGCCCACCCCAGCAGCCTGAGAACGTGCCTCTTCAGTTCCAGTGACTCGAGTGACGCTGGGGTTTTAGGAGCAGGTGTGACTTCCTTGCCTGGGACGTAGCCGGTTAAAGCGCGTGAACCAGCAGTTTCCAGTATGTTCCCAGACACGGGCGGCCCCTGGCCCCATGAGCCCTGATGGTCCAGCTTGTAAACGTCAGCATGCCAACACAAAGGTGTCGGGCGTTCCAGTCCACTGCCAGCCACCCGTGGGGCACACGAGCACCCTCTTCCTGCAGTGATTTACAGTGGAGGGAGGGTCACCGGGAGCCTCCTGGGGCAGCGGGCGGTGGGAATGACCACATTCACTTGGGAAGATGTCAGCACCCCAAAAGGAAACCCCTTTTGTATCAGCAGTCATCCCAATACTTCCTGCTTCCCTTAGCCCCACATGGCCACTGGTCAGCTTGTCAGTGGACAGCCTTCAGTGTCTGGGCTGTGGCTTGGCCAGAGGCGTGGAGGCCCCCACCAGGATGTGTTGTCTTTCCTCCCTCCTGGCTGAGGGCTCTTCCCTCACAGGGGCCACATTGCGTCCCTGTCGCCGCCTGGGGGACCCCACTGTGTCCCCATCGCTGCCTAGGGGTCCCCTGCTGTGTCCGTGTCGCCGCCTGGGGGACCCCGCTGTGTCCCCAGGGTTGCTCGATGGCACGCTTTGGTAGCCCTGTGGTGGACCTGGTGATTAAGGGTCAGCCTGTCCAGCTCTCCCAGGGGGCCCCTGGGGTGGAGTGGCCAGGTGGTGCCTCACTCCACGTTTAGTGTTGTTTTGAGGACCACCACATGCCCTCTTCCGGCCCGTCCTTGTCACACCGCTTGACCTTCGTCTGCCCAGCAGGAGTGGGGTGGCATCACCCAGTGCCTGGATTGTTAAGCATGAGGGGCTGCAGCACTTACCACTGAGCTCTGGGGCCTCATTGCTGACCTGTCCTTAGCTGGTGCAGGACGGCTTACTCCTCACTGACCCCCGGCAGTCACACGGGCATTTACTACACAGACACATGCCCACGTGTGTCCATGCAGGTTCACACACATGTACACACAGCTACACTTACACACCAAAGGAGCACGCATGTGTATGTCCATGACCATACACACACCAGCACGTGTACACACTAACATACAATCAGAAAATCAAAGGACATTTTACACCAGGCAGATGGGCTGCCAGGGACCTCTTTAAAATGCTGCAGAGCAGTGATGCCCTTTAACGAGTAAGGTGGGCCTGACCCAAACCATCATGTTTTCATCTGCCGTGGTGTGTGTGTAAGCTGGACGGGGACTCAGAATGACAGGCCTAGAATCAAGGCCTTTGAGTTGAGGTGTTGGGGTCTGACTGTCCCCACTGACTGACAGAGAACCCAGAGGTGCTCCTTAGAGGCAAGCGTGGAGAAACGTTGTCCACAGACTTGGGGCGTGTCATCAGGGGGATGTCCTTCAGCAAGACATGCTGGGAACGGTGGAGGGTCCGAGGACGAGGGCAGGCCCTCCACGAGGTGGCCTGACAGGGTGACAGGATGTCACCCCATGGCTGAGCCTGGGAGCCTGGAGCAGGAGAGAACGGGTGTCAGATGTCCTCAGGACCACTGAGTCGTGGTCAGCCCAACAGCCCCGGACAAAGCACAGTCACATCCGTACACACACCCTGACACATACACGTGTGTCCACACGCTCGCCACGTGCATGTGTGCAACACACACCCCACCACGTGCACGCATGCACCTACACACAGTTCAGTCGTGGGCACGCTGGTGTGGGAATGTGTATATGTGAACATATGTGGACACGGTCACCTGTACGTATGTCTGTTTGCATGTACGTGTACTAACGTGGACACGCGAGTGTGCCGCACGTCCACATGCATGCACATGTGTGCTAGCGTGGGTTGTGCACACGTGAACACACATGCCCCCTCGTGCGCATATCCACCAACAGGTGTGCACACGTGCTGTGTACACGTGTTGTCATCTCAGACATGTTAAATGCGCACACATGAGCATGTACACGTGTGCCCTTGCATCCACTCAACGCTGATGGTGTCAGCACACATAACCAGCTACACATGTCTCTACACATTTTCCCTTGCACGCGCACACGCTGACAGGGTGTGAGCGCACGTGACCGTCCACGTCTTCATACACACACAGGCTTGCACACATGGACGTATACCCGTGTTCCCTTGTGTGCACACATGCTAATGGGTGAAACTGCTCTTGGTTCCTGGGGGCCCTTTGGCACTGCTTCTGGCCTCCCTCCCCTCGCTTTCTGACGAGTGTGGCTGTGTGTGTGGTCCTGGTCACACTGTGCCGCCGCCCGTCCTGTGTCCTCAGTCTCCCAGGACCTCGAG